AAAATAGTTAATATGAAACTCATTTACATCCGATCTACTATGGAACCCAAGAATTATAGCACTATCAGAAGTATTTTAAAAAAAGAACAAGGTGAAAAAATTGCTCCATACGTTTTTAAAATAAATGATACTCAGACACCGGAAACTTATCTAAGAAAAGAAAGGATTACCCATGAAATTTACCAAGAAGAAAGAAAAATAATAAACATTAAGAAAAGAAAGCAGAATGAAGATGTGCTATTACCTAATAAAAAGCAAAAATCTTTAAAAAGAAAATAAAATGCAATGAATCTTATTATTAAATACTGATCTATTTTTTTACCTTTATGCAAATGTAATTATCAATAAAAAAAACATTGTTTGAACGAATTTTACATTCAAGAATATGTTTATAAATCTTTGTTTTTTTTTCATTGACATTGAAACAAGATAAATAATTTCCTCCCATGCAAGTACTCTGATGATTTTTAACTTAAATTTTTATGTATTTTTCTATTATTAGTTGAATTAAAATAAAAATAATTTTCTTTTGTCGTTAAATCATTGTACGTAAAAATAAATTCCAAGTCATGTGCCCATTAATTTATCATTGGTCAAAATCATGCATAAATTATAACAATAACGATTTAAATCAATAAAAAAAAAATTTTTTTAAATTTTTACAAATGACAACAATCGGAAGAATCGAACAAGAATTGAACCGAGCAAATGAGAGGTTAGAGAAGGCGGAGAAGGATTTGAATGAATTCATGAAGGAGGAGAACGTGAAATTTTATAAGGAGTTATGGGGAATGGAGGAGTTGAAAGAAAAGAAGAAGTCGTTGGAGGAAGAGAAGAAAAAGTGGGGAGATCTGGTGGAGGAGTTGGTAAAAGCATTAGTTAAATTCGGTGGAGGAGAAGGTAATGAACAAATTGCATAAAAAAAATATACAAAAAATTATTTTTCATTCATTCCATTTCGTTTATTTATTCACTTGTATACCATTTGAACCTTGACTAACATCTATTCATCTCATTTATCATTTATTCATCTTGCTGCGAACAAACATTTTTTACAATATTGTTTAATAAAATCAAAGGTAAGTACCATTTCGTTTATTTATTTATTGTGGGAACATTTATATATTTGACTAGTTTACACTATGGGAATTGTTTTGCTTTTAGTTTCTTACCACATTTTCATTTATTTGTCCTTGCTTTTTTTGTCTATTATGCAGAGAATGAGAGGACCCATATAGATAATGACGTTCAAAAAAATTATGAAGGTAAGTTTTGTTGGTGAGTTTTTTTCTTTGCAGATTATGCCTTTCTCAACAATTTATTTCTAGATATCATAAAGAAAATAAAGTCCATTGTGAATCCACCTCATTCAACTCCACCACATGTTTTAAGTGAGAACATATCATTCACTACGTCAACAGTTACTACTGTACAAGAAATTGGAAATAGATTCAAATTTGTTGAACGTGAGGAACAGATGAGATTATACAGGGAATTAGTACAGAATGCATTTGAAATTTGGCAAGCCTACCACACAAAATGTGCATATTCAAAGGGTGACTACAAAAAGAGTCTTATAATTCCAGTGATAGGAGGGGCCAGTGGTATTGGAAAGACAAGATTTTTAAATGAAATTGTGAGGTGGATGAATGATCGTGTGGATGATGCTGACAGTCCACTAAAAAATATATATCCTAACAATGAACCTACTGATGAGCAGAAGGCTGGTCTAAATAGGTTTAATTCATTTTATTTATTAACTGGCTTCCTATTCTCTTTTCTTTACTTAAACCCTCTCTTGTGTCTTTATTTAGATTCAGAGAATGTCTGCAGAAAATTTATCAGAGAAACTTAGTACTTTACATAGAAGTTAATAATTTATTGTTTAAGAATGAGCAGATTTGCTTAGAAAACCTTGCTGAAATGTTGATCATGGCATACATAAACCGAGTTGGATCAATTGATAATGACACTTTAAAAGAAATCCAAAGGTATGCACTATTTGGTGACAAATGTTATTTAGTAATTAAGTATTGTGAAAGCATGCTAACACCCACAAAGTGTACTTGGACAGTCTGATCCATTTGAGAGAGCAGCAAATATACTCTATGAATTGGAATCAACAGACAAGGAACTGCCAATCATATTCCTGATACACATGGATGAAACACAAATTCTACAAGAAGAACAATTGCGACAAGTGATTTCAAAATTTACATCTCTGCAAATGAAAAACAATAAAATTCTCTTTCTGCCAACATTATCAGGGCTTGATGTTGCTCTACTTGAACAATCAGTCAATACCAGTGGAACTAGTTATAAATGGATTCAATTACCATTACTTCGAGTCAATCATTATATGGAAATCTTAGATGAATTGTTTGTGGACAAACCCTCACTTAAGGAAAATTCTTCAGTTCAAAATGCTCTGAAGGATATTGAAGGGCCTCCTAGACTATTGCAAATGCTCTTATATTATGCTGCATTATTTCATCATCATGAAGGTTCAATTCCTTATAAATTCTATGATGCACCCTTAAATATTGAAGATGCATACCAAACCCTCTTAGTTGCTAATTCAAATACATGGTTTAGAATCTTTCAAATGATGTCTTTACAATTCCATAAGATAGATGGCCCACTTAAAACAGTCATGCTATTATTAGAAGAAAATTTATACCCACTTGTTTATGGTTATGCTATTATTGACAAGCCTGTTTTATTGGGAACAGTCATTGGAAATACAACAGTAAATGAGTTAGTAAAAAAAGGTTTGGTTTTTATTCGTGAAGAAGTAGATATATCCTCAAGAGAGTTCCTTCCATCAAAAGTTGGCAAAGTTGGTGGAGTTTACTCAGGGTTATATCTTCATTTACCATTCATATATTTGCATTTGATATCTCAATATGTGACAAAAGAAATGGATTGCCCAATATTGTACTTGATTAATCAGTGGGGTCGAGAAGAATTGACTCCTGAAGAAGCAGAACGTTTAAGTATAAACATGCTACTATTTCGTGTATATTTGCTAAGATCATTAAAATATGAACAAGTTGGACTTGTAGAACTTATTGGAAGCTATTCTGCAATATCAGATGCTGATGTATCATTGCATGAAATTCGTGTTAATATCTCTTCAGGAAATTGTATTGTTCACCATGTATCAAAATCATTAACTTCAAAAAATTTCATCAGTTATGCAAAGAGAATAGCTGAAGAAAAGGATTATAAAGATTTTGTTTCAATAATCAACAAACCTAAAGCTCCATCTATGGATTGGGCTGTAACATTTTTCAATAGCAAGAACATTCCAACTTTTCTATCCCAAGCTCCTGATCTTCCACACCTAAGATCTCAAAGTGATGATAATCTTTCACAGAATCTTACATATAAAAATGATGATGATGACAATATGGATATTGATGATGACCTTCCAAAGAATCTAATTCTTATGGGACAGGATAAAAGATTCATAGTAACCTCATTAACTCAATCAATGATTAGAAATGAGATTCAAAAGGTACTAATTCTATGGTTTATAATAATAATTGAAAGCTATGAAACTAACTATGCATTTTGTTCAGATTCAGAAGGTAGTAAAGGACAATAATAATTATGGGTTCATCCTCCTTATTATCACAGATGCTGTTCCTCCTGAAATTGATGAAAAATTGCGAAAACACATAATCCTTATATCTTCAGAGGAAATTTGTTGGTACCTTGGTGGTGTTATTGCTGATAAACGTAAAAGAGTTCTTGAGAGCATGCAAAATGAATATAGAGTTTAGTGCAGCAAATTTAATTAAGAATTTGAAGATATATAATATTGAAATGGTTTTTAACAATTAATTAACAATAAAAAATTCTGTATTAAGTTTTTTATTATATTTGTAATTCTCAAAATGTTCTTTTAATTAAGATATTTTCTGTTAAAATTGAAATTATTACATGTATCTTACTTTGGATATATGATTAGGACTTTATTTTATGTTGGATTTTTTTATATATAATAGTCATGTCTCTCTTGCCTTAACAAACTTTAAAGGTAAAAATAATTATCTAAAAATAATTTTTTTGATATTAATTTCAACTAATTAAGTAAACTGAATGATTATACATAGCAAAAAGGTTTTTTCATTTTTCAAAGATTTTGGCAATCTTTAGATTTTGAATTTTATAACTAAAAGCAATTTTGATTATGTCTAATCTTAAAAGATAATAATTGCTTCCTTGATGTTTTCATACTAAAATACATGCAAAAACTACAAAATGAACATAAAATTATATATAGGGATAAGTGTATATGAAAAGTAATTATGGTTCTAATGAATATAAAAAAGCAATTGATTTTTTAGAAAGAGGTTGTGATTGTGATTGTTCTTCTAAAATTCCCAAAGAACAATTTGCAGAGTTAAGGGAATCCTTTCAAGCTCTTTCTAAGTCTGAGCAAGACATATTTTTAATGGCCCAACTTAAAGCCATGGATGGTGGGTCAATAAGCACTAGTAGACACCTTAATAAGAAAATTAGATCTAGTAAAAGAACTTTCTATCATTGGGATCACAATACACCCCTTTGTCAAGAAACTTATCTCAATATGTTAGGAATTGGTAGAACTTATTTTGAAAATATTAGAAATCATCTGATAAACAATGGTCTTCTACCAAGAACTCATAGTAACATAAAAAGAATGCCTCATTGGAAAACTAAAATGGTGATTGATAAAAATGTTGCAGAAGTAGTAAAGTATTTTCTAGAAAATTATGCAGAAGTCCATGGTTTACCAAGTCCAGGAAGAAGTATCAATAGAATAACCCAATCAATTGTCTTTTTACCAGCTGAAATGAGTTACAAATCAGTGCACAGAGATTTTTTGGCTGGTCTAGAAGATGATAGCAAATTGAAATCCTTAAAATATGATGCATTCAGAAAATTATGACATCAATTGACACCAGAAATTCAAATTATGAGTCCAAGGACTGATTTGTGTGATACTTGTCA